TCATCACCATCTTTATTGTAGTAGCTACATCTTCCTTCAGTGTCCGTGGAAGGGGCTATTCAAAGATATAACCAATCTTCTAATGTTTGAGAACAATTCTTAAATTGTGGTGCCAATCAAGAAATTTGGTTTAATTGTTGGCATCCAATATGCCTCTCAAGTACATATGGCTACTTATTATTCGATAAATGTAAATGGCTAAAAGTAAAAGAATAATATATATAATGCATTAGTTAATTTAATATGGTATTTTTCTTAAATTAATTATACTCTCTCTATTTAATTCAAATTTATAACCCTTTCACATAAATTTATGGAATCTATACTTGACTCTTAGTGAGCTGGGATCCTATTCGTTATATTAACACCTTGAGCGTACTCAACAAATCTTAGTAAAATATTTACGTAAATACTATGATCAATTGCATCTCTACACAACTCTCATATCATTAAACTGACAACATATTTTCTTCATAAATCTTATATATTAGGTTAACAAGCCCCTAGAATTTATCTCTTTGAGTGTATTCAACAAAAGATAAATTTTAGTTAAGTCGAAATCAATATTCAGAGATATTAAATATTTCATAGTGTCAAACATATCCCTAATATGTTAGCCTTGAATGCATTTAATAAGTTGAGATTGATTTAGGACTCTTATTTTTCACTAAAATTATGGAAGACGAATATATATATGACTTAATATTTTAACAAAGGGTTCTGTATTCAAAGGTCTCATTGTAATAATTATATATGTTTTATTATACATCTAGTTCTTGTTTGAACCCCATTCTTTAGGAAAAATGCATTTTAACAGTATTATAATTTATTTCAACCGCATATTATTCAATAAAATAATATTAAACACAAATCCAAAATTTTCTCTAATTTTTTAACCACACATTTTTTATCAATACACTATTCAAAAATTCATTATTTTCCCCAAAATAGGGCTCAAATAAGGGCCTAATATGCAAATAAATATATATAATAGTGTTGACAATTATGGACTTTTACTATTTAGTCTTTTCGAGCGATAACAAAGACTAGTTGATCAGCCTTTAGGGGGTATTGTATTGACTCATACAATGCTCCATCTCTATGGTCTCCTCTCCTTATTTGTTTAATTAGTCCAACTGCAACATGTATTCTATACTAATTGGCACACAGGCCTAAATAATTGGACACGTAAACCCATAAAACTACAACGGATTCTCAGGTCCAAAGTAAATAATAGCTTGTAGGCCCATAAAAAATAAGAATAAAACTAACCATTCAACACATCCACATAATTGAAACCCATAATTATCCACTAAATAGAACATTCAACATATAAATGTTTTCCTATATAATATTTAATATTATATGCATAAATGTTTCAAATTTCTAACAATTAAGGTTGTTTAAACGAATTTAGACAAATGGATTGAAACAATTAAATAATCAATTAATCAAAATAGCAAGTTTATTTAATTGAAATTGAATTTTAATAAAACATAGAATTAGAGTCCATCTCTTATTCAACAATTACATGGCGAACTTATTTAATTAAAATCAAGTTTTCATTAAATATCAAATTAGAATCCAATTCTAATTTTAAACTTAAGGCGATTGAATTTAGTTTAAATAAATTTTAATTAAATAGCAAAATTAGAGTCCAACTCTGATTCCAAAATATTAGGGCGAACTTATCTAGTCAAAATCAAATTTTAATTCAATACCGAATTAGAGTACAACTCTAGTTTTAAAGTTTTAGGGTGAAACAATTTAATTAAAATTAAATTCTAACTAAACGCCAAATTATAGTCCAATTATAATTTCAAGAATATTTTACAGCAGATAATTTAATTAAAATAAAATTTTGAATAAATACTAAATTAGAGTCCAAGTCTAATTTAAATTGAATTAACATTTTAATTTAGGAGAAAACTTGTAAATAAAATAAAATTCAATTTAGGGTCAAGGTTTAATATTTAAGTTAAAATCCAATTTTAACTATATTATAAAAGTACTCATTAAAATTTTAAATAGGTTTTTAAATCAAATTTCTCATCACAATTGAGCTTGTGTTTGAGCCCCATTTTCTTCCATTAACTCTCATTTTCTTTAGTCCAAAATTGATGGCCAGCGGGACCCACTTTGTTAGTGAATGCATAGACCCTGACACATAGGTTTGAAAATGTTGAATTCCAAAATTAAACACAATCACAATTTTAGACATTGACATTACTGCCCCTCTACTTACTGTTTCACACATGAGAATAAGACAAAAATTGTTAAGTCAAACAACATTAGCATACAATTCATTTCCGGGCGTGCGTTTGACGAAAATAATATTTTTGCATTCATTGCATCGAAACAAATTCACACATTACAACATTCATTCAAGTGGTAATTTACGCTTTCATACTGGCTTCCAACAATAATTTAGCGTTAACCTAGTCAACGTATGGTGTGTGCTATGTAATCCCGTAACTGGGTCCACGACACATTCTCATCCGCAACAGCATCCTCTTCCGCTGCAGCTTCATCTTCCTCATCGGGTAACTCAACCTTGACTTCTTGATCGTCAACTTCCTCGGCCCTGCGAAACCCTTCGTCGAGTTGTCCGTTGCGTCGCAGAAAATTATGGACTCCCATTGCTGCCATGACCACAGCGATTTGGGCTCGATATGAATAATTAGGCATCCTGTCTAGAATTTTCCATCTTTGCTTTCAGACTCCGAATGCACGCTCAATAATGTTTCGACATGATGAGTGATGAAAGTTGAACCTCTTGCGTGCATTACGAAATCGACGTCTGCTGCCACCATGATCGTGAAATTCTTGGAAGTGATAACGTACATCCGACCCTTTGTACGGTGCCATGTACCCCGGTCGATTTGCAAATCCAGAGTCCACCAAGTAATATTTCCCGTCAGTCAGTTCCGAAAAGTGTATGTCCGGACTATGCACCGTGCGGGCTAGTATAGGACTGTCGTGCGTGGGGCCCATGCTTTCCGGAAACACAAATGTGAAGCACAAGTTGAAATCGTAAGCGGCCAAGACATTCTAAGTGGGCACCCCTTTTCGCCCTATGAAGTTAATTCTTTTACGTTGTGGCAACACTGCTCACACATGGGTCCTGTCGATAGCTCCAATACAATCCTGCGACGTCCATTTCAAATCACGTCAAATACTCGAATAAATTTTGGCAAATTTAATTTGACCACCGAGACAACGTGCGGCAACATAAACATACCTGGAACAACGGATATCGCTGCGGATTGGGGTGATGATGTGCAGCGCCATGGTTGTAGTTTTCATGAGGCCGGATCATGTCTGCTGCCAACGCACAGATGGCGCGAAGCACGCGCTTGAAATAATGGCCAACGGTCTGCAGCGAATGTCCAAATAGCGTTTGCACTTGGCGATATCCCTTCCCGTGCGCCATTATACACAAAAACAATCTGACCTGCTTGTATATATCGATGGTCATACTATTTTCCAATTCGTAGCGGTCTCTCAAAACATGTACAAAGTGCCTGAACATGGACGGGTACATTCTAAACTCTTGAAAGCACGTTTGCAGGTACACATGCATATTCTGCAACATGAAGATATGGCCGCTTCCTGTTGTAGGAAATAAGTAACGGTGGGCCCAATCCGGCATGAGGTACTGGCACACCATCCGCTTAGCGATATGACAATACTGTAGCCACACCACCATTTCCGCCTCTAACTGCTGCAGTACATCTTCATCTGAGCCGTCATCCGAACAAGAGTTCGACACGAGGTCACAATCGGTCTCTGATGATATATATGAATCGGACATGTCTGTCATCTCGTCAAAGCGAGAGCACGACACACAAATATTTTTACTGTACGTGTCAGCGTCAAATTTTCACTGTGATTGGGATGATATTTTCGTAACCCGTTACTTCGCCAATTAGCACTTTCCTTCTTATAGCAGGAGCCTTTGCAATGCATGCAATCAATATTGTATAGTTAGTGCCCACAATTATTGATTCCATTAGCAGGCATGCAGAAGGTGTACTGACAAGGCAAAATATGCATTGTATCATGCATTGACATATTTCAAAGTGCCAAGAGTTGGATTCCAGCCTTCACGTAATAATGGAGTCTGTGGGACCAAATTACTTATGTGCAAAGATTTGGCTCTTACGGAACTATAGACGTGTTTCATAATTATATGCAATAGATGGACATACTGTTGATAATAATGGACTCTACGCGAGCGTGTTTTATGTGGAAAAGTATTTGCTTTTCTAGAGCCATTGACGTTTTGCAAAATTGTCAGAGTAGGAAGAGAGCGTTTAGATAGTGATGGATTCTGTGGACGCAATTATTTATGTTCAAATTTTTGTATCTTCCCTAACCAATGACATCACATCAAGCTAATAGGGGTAGAATTATTTACTTTACTTAATAGTTGAGTCCCTGGGAGGGACTTCTTTCTGTATCAGTTGTTGCTTCCCTACAGCTACGAGCCTATTTCTCTATGTTGTAAGAGTAGATTGAAAACTTTTAAAAAAAAAATCGCGTCCTCGATACACAATTGTTCACGTTCACAGTGTTTGCTATTCCAGCACTAATACAATTGTTAAACATTATAGAAATATACTTTATTGACTATACGTAATAGTTGTGTCAGTGGCCACGACGTGTTTCTGCTCGAATTTTTTGTTTTACAACAACTATTGACAGACTTTACGTAGTTCTCGGGTACACAGGTATGAAATATTTCTGGATGTGCATGAAAACGAGTCACATGCACCTATTTTCATTACATTAAACACTACAAAATACATAGCACGGTATGTAGTGCGCGAAACGTGTAAATAGGAATTAGAACAACAAAGTATTATTACAACAAGCCGTATGGACGATAACTAAAAAAGCTTACAAATGAACTCAAACCAACAACACATACAGTCGAAGTACGATTACAGGCTCCCAGAACCCGGCATTTTGTCGAGTTCAAAACAATACACGATCCACTAGTAGTGCATCTCCATCATTTTAGTTGCACTGTACGCAACACGATTTTTAGAATTTCTTAGGAACCACAACGCGAACATGTGCAACTCATCCTCAGCTTCGACAAGCCCAATCGAAATCAAATCATCTATGCATTCGTGGAGAGTCATACGACCCTCTTCTTTTGCGCGAATCACAGAGGCCATCTCCTTTGATGCGCAAGCGAGGTTATCTACCGACTCAGAAACCTCCCTCGCACCGAATTTCTTTCGCATCTCCTTCGCATGTCTTCCCTTATGTTTCTCACCGCTTCGATGCAGGGAGATATTCATCGAGGAACTCACTCTTCCTGGTGTCAGGCCATCGCTAGAATCAGTCGTCTCAGCATTGATAGGTAACGTGTCGTTCGAATCATCTGAGTTGGAGTTGGCGCCCAAGTCAAACCCACGTTGAGGCAGCTTCATGGGTGTCAGTGCGTACTTCATGGAGTCACAACTACCTCCAAACAGACGATTATAATTATGGTAGATTTTTGTGTTGTCATTGTCCTTGAACTTTCCATACCGAGGGTTCTTCTACAATGAAACATGGGAGCATTAGTATAGTGTTATGGAGTTGTTCACATGTAAAACCGTTTCTAAGAAAGCAAGTGTAACTCAAGAGTGTTCACATGTCAATACCTTAATTTTTTGCTTCCACCACCATTTCGGCACATCAATTTTGCCCCCGGTGCTAAGACCACAAGCTATTCCCGTGCACTGGAGAAGCTCAAACAGTAGTTTGTGGTCCGTGCGCATAGCACCCCAATGGTTTTTCAGTTGTGCGATAGTCCAGTTCTTCCCAACATTTTTGTTGAACAATTCGCATAATCGCTCCCACCCTGTTGAAGAGAAGCACTTTCGGCGACGGTATCCCTCTGCAGTGAAGTTTTCGACGGCGAACATGAAGATCTTCTGCTCTCGAGGTTCCCATCTAGCACACTTGCGAGCCTCCGACTTGTTTTCGAGGTTAGGGTTTGATGATGCGGCCTGCATGGCGTCTGAATTTTGTGTCGTGTAAATCTGCCAAAATGTTGCACATCAGAGTTGTCAGAACTTGTGAGAAAAGAAAATTGCAGTACAAAGGTTTCACTGAAATAGTCGTGTGGCAGTGTTGGTACGTGAATCTACAATGCATTCAACAAATACTTTGGTGTTAGAGTTCTGTGGTAGTGAAAAAATCATAAAACACATAAGTGAAAGTGGTGATGCTGTAGTGGAAAACGTAACTGCTATTATGAGCAGGCTGCTGAAATTTTTGCGGTACATAAGCACAAATTAATATCCATAACTGAGGAAAGTGTACTGATCACACGTAAATAATGAAAGAGCATATGATGACAATACAATGGTGAAGTGGTGAAAGTTAGCCACTAGCAGAACATGCGATGTCCGGCAATTGAAGACATGGCTTTACTAGAGGAATATTTTCTGGCGTTGGACTAAACCCATGTCCCAATTTTCCCTTATGCATAGTAGTTTGGAACAATTGCCAATTTTTTTCTGTTCATTGCAACATATATAGGTAATATGAAGGAAGTGGCATTACAAATACATTGTTACGGCAGCATATTAATAGGATAAAAATGTCCAGTAACACGAACTTCTATATTCAGGAGCCTCAGATCAGTTGACATAACCAGTTATATTGAGCAAGGAAATCAATGGTCGTGAAATAGAGCAACATCCTATAATTTGAAGTAGAAGAGGCAGGAAACCGTTCCAAGTTACTAGGTAAAAGAAATGAATTTGTGAAAAGAAAATTACATAGCAGGCACAAGCACAGCTAACAACTCCAAATAAGGGTGCTAATGTAATGGCCTTGGAACTAGCTTATCGGAGTTACTTACTCACAGAGGCATGTCAATTGCGATACAAACAACATTAAATTCATAATCCACAAGGTGTAATTACAGACGGAGCGGGGAGGGGATTAGTCTCAGAAAAATGAATTTACAGTTCATCCGACAGCAACTGATTTCGATGTCAAAATGCATTAGACGATGTGATTAGTGGCTGTGTTCTGTTCTGTCGTGCATGTGGCCTACCTAATCGATAGTCGACTGGTGGCAATAGCTTATGTACAAGGTGCGTGAAGGTGTCAATAAGTTTGGAATGGGGATGCAGATCGGGGGGGAGCAGTTGAGTTTGAAGCGTACCATGGTTTCCGGATAATAACCAAAATCGCCGGCGTCGTAGGCCATTTTCGTTTGCTACAGTTCGGAGCCTCTGGAATTTGTTATGCAAGTGGACTATGAAGTCAAGCCCAGATGTGATGCGTCGTTGGGGGAAGATGATATGGACGCCGAAAATGGCCTTGCACAAGGATCGACTGACAACGTGTGGCACAACAAATTTTTAATCGGCAAGATACAGATGCGGTTGTCTTTGCAACAGTGTAGTGAACTGACCGGATGGAGATGGAAGGAAATGGGGGATTGGGTTTTTGCTGGGAAGGAGGCCAGTAGGTCATTATTGAAGGGCAAATCTATAAAATAGAATGGAAAATAAGGGGTGTTGGTGTCAATTGGCTCTATCTGTTGTGTGTGTAATGAATAATTGAACCATGTGCCTGCTATGTTTGTCAAAAGACAGAATCAGCTAAATTTGACTTCGTGGTCAAACGTTTTGAAAAAGTACTTGAACCAAAAATGTAATGTGCTCAGACAGAGGCTCAAATTTAAGGCCAAACCTTTTAAAATTCAATTTAAATCCATTTTCAAATTTAAATTCAAAAGTATTTTGAAAATTGTAATTTGACTCCTACTTTTAAAATTATAATCAAGACCTTCCAATTTCATAAATTTCAGAATAGTTCCTTAGTTCAGAATTGCAACTTGACCCATTTTTTGTAATTATATTTGAGGCCTGATATTTAACAAATTTCATACGAGGCCCCCATCCCTGAACTCAATACAACCAAACCAAGAAATCATAAACTCGTTTAAGGGGCATAGCCTATAGCCCAGAGCCTCCACGGTGTGTGCTGCTACTGTCGTACAGTGGTGGCACTCGACAGCAACCCAAGAGCAGGGCACCGTGTTCGCTCGATGCTGCTCTCACTTTTTCGTGCTTGCATGTGAGCAATGACTACTACTAGCAGTGCCGGTGTTACCAGCCCACGTGTCTTCAATCCAAATTTTCAACCCAAAATTGATTTTCTTTTCAAAAAAAGATTTTTGAACATAAAAAATTAATTTTTTTAAATTGTTATATTTAAGAAAATAAATTAACAATCAATTTTTGATTGTTCCAAAATACAAAAATAATTTCTAACAAACACAAAATATGTTCTGATACCACTGTTGGAAATTTATTTAACATGCACAATGGAATTTAAACAAAATTTCAAAACCCGCCAAGCATCTTCTTTGTGTTTAAATAGAAACTTTAATAGAATAATACTTTTGACTATTTCTGCAAATTCCTTTGCTAATCTTAGAATACGAACAATCACGGTTTACAATTCACAGCTGTTCAATTGTCTAGTTTCCAATAGAAATCCATACAAAGAACAAAATTGAGAGAACTAAGAATTTATTTTCTTGTGGTAACAAGAATAATTGCTCTTTACTAATTTTTCTAAACCCTAGCAACATGTTAATATAAATCCAAGTGGACATGGCCTATCTCTTAAACTTAACTTGATTGATTATTTATTTAATTAATCAAATTAATTAAATTTGGTTCATGAATCAATTAATTAAATTAAATAATTCGGACCTATTAAAAAGCAACCAAATTAATTTATTATTCAACACTTGTCAATTAATTAATTGTTGAATTTCATTTTTCTAGTTTTCCTTTTGTATGTGACCCATCAGATTCCCAATCACGATGTCGATTGACGTGAATTATTATTAAAATCTAATTAAAATTGATAAATTAAAATACCCGTTTTTAATTAATCACCAATTCACATTTGTTGTCCCAAATTGACATATAGTAATGTGTCATGACTATGCATGTAACGGGAAATGTCACGTGGTATGACAAAATCCAACTTACGTCAATTTTAATTATTGATCATATCTTTCATTCTACTGTTAAGTAAAATAAGTCGAAAACTCGTTTTTGGCTTATGAGTAACCTTGGCCAAGGATTTCGCTATCAATTTAACTAAATGAAATTTAGATAATAATTTTTTGCTATCTAAAAGTGACGCATCCTCTATTAATCATTCACAACCTTCGTATAATTCTTGACATATTCAAACGTTGCCTTATCAACGATCCTTGGTAGA